CTGTGGCAGCTATCTGCCCAAACTCAGACCACTGACCACTTTCACTTACACTCCTTAAGAGTGCCCATCAGCCCCTATGGACGTCCTTCAGCTCAGCCCATGCTCTGGGTGAGATGAAGTTGTAAAGTGGAGGCATGAAAGGCCCCTTTGTCCCTAGGATGTGGTAGCCTGGTGCTGGCCCGGCACTGTGTCTCCCACCGCCCCCAGCAGGAAGTAGGCTGGGCTGGGTGAGCTGAGTTCCAGCAAACGAACAAAAGGACCTGTGTGTTCAGTGCTGCTCAGTGTCCTCAGAGGCTTGGTCCCCGGGTATGCCCAGGCTCTGCTTGTCTGTGTGCTGCTACAGACCAGCCAACAACACAGCCTAGCTGTGTGTGCTTATATCCTTGCACACACGGGTGTAGATATGCATATGTGTGACATGTGTGGTGTCTGAGTATGTGTATATATTTATATGTGTGTACTTATTGTTCATGCATGTGCACATGTTTGAGATGCATGGTGCAGATATCTGTGAGTACTTGTGTATGTTCTGTGAGTGCATGTGTAAGCATATGTGTGTATATGCGTGCACTTGTGCATGATATATATATATAGTGTGGTGTGCATACATGTGTGTTTATGTGTATGTTACATATCCACCTGTGTAGGTTTATCTATGTTATTCTATACATGTGTATTTGTGATATGTCTATGTGAGGATTAATACATGTATATGCAGTGTGTGAATATGTTTGTGTGGTGCAGGTACATGTGGGTGGATATCCTAGGTTTACATGTGAATACATGTATGGATATGTGTTCTGCTTGCATGTGTATCCACATAGGTTGCTTTATGTTGAAAGGTATTGTGATTACACCATGTGAAATATATACCATGTGCTTGTGTTTGTGTTCATGTATTTTATGTGCACACCCATGCCTGCACACATGTATGTTCATGAGGATGTGTTTGTCATATGGCCTGGACAGAAGCTCTGTCCCTCCCATAACCTAAGACCATTAGGACCTTGATACTCTCTTCCTGTCCTGTGCCTGTCTGTGTATGTTGTCCTGTCATGTATGAACTTTCCCCAGTTGCAGCAGACTACAAGCTTTATCCCTCTTCCCACTTCTTACCCGGCTGTTAAAGGGTGAAGGAGGCTCAGGAGCCCTATGTGTGTTTCACAGAAGGTAGCCTTGATACAAGACAGGATGGGATCTGAACTCAGACCCAGAGTCCTTTAGCCCACCAGCTATTCTCTACTTCCAAAGCCCACACATTCTTGGTACATCCTGCCAACAAACTGGCCCCGACTGGTGCTACCACCCTACCCTAACCAGTTCACACCGCTTCACCTCAGGACCTTGTCTGTGTGACGTATATGTTGGCCTTTGATCTTGCTGTTCTTCTAGTAGCTGGAGGCTTCCTTTTCCTTCACAACCAGTTCTGTTCTTGACTTGTTAGGCAGGCAGAGACAGCATGACTGGGAGCCTATGGTTCCCTAACCTGCAAACCCCTCTCTGAGCGGCTTTATCCGGACAGGTTGGTGCAGAGAGGGACATTGCTCATGGCAGTGTTTTATCTGTCACTTGAGCATCCTTCCATGGCTGAAGGCAGAGAGAAAGAGGAAGAAAAGAGGGAGACAGACAGACAGACAGACAGAGAGTTGAGAAAGTTCTCAAGCACTGCAAACAGGCATTTGGGGGCTGAGATGTGGGTGTGGATCCTGAGGCAGCCGATTTCAGGCTTTTGGGCTTATATTTGTTGGTGCCTGAGACGGTTTTCATACCATCTTTTGCTGTCACCAAAAATGACACCAGGGCTGGGAGAAGCAGCTGCTGGTGACTTTGCACAACTAATGAACAGCCAGGGACAGATGTGTGACAGAAGCCAACTCTGCTTGCCCACCAGCCACCTGTGCTGTGTGATTAGTAGGATCCCAGGAGAGTGGCTTGGGCGGATACCTAGCTTTTTGGAAAGTCCTCAGCCTAGGGATACCCATGGCCTGGGATGTGGGTGGGGTCACAGCCTCGGGTAGCCTTTGTTCTTGAAGCCTTTTCCCAGGAAGCCAAGGGTTTTTTTTTTTGTTTGTTTGTTTTTGTTTTTTGTCCCCCCCCCCCAGACCCTTGAGGGAGCAAGGTCTCTTCTTCATGGGGACTCCAGAATGATTCACGTAAGCATGGGGCAGGCCTCACTCCATCAGTTTAGGCTTCCATAGCAGAATGCCCCAGACAGGCAGCTTAGGGGCTTAACATTAGCTCCGGGCACTGGAAGTTCAAGGCCACTATACTTGTAGGGCCATTTTCTGGCTCTTTTGCTGAGTCTGCCTTCTTGCTGTGTCCTCACTGGTGGTGTGTTGTGAAGCAGGGAGGGGGAGGGTATTCTTTGGGTCCCTTAGAAGACCACTAATCCTTCTAATTCAGAACTCATCCTGTGTCCTTGTTTGAATTCAGTTATTTCCATGTGGTCCTGTCTCTAAATACAAGGGTCAGGGACTTAGCACACAAATTTATATTACATCTCTAGCAGTAATGTGAAAAGAGTTGGCCTGGGATCCTGGCTGTTGCTGGCAACTGATATAAAGAGCCCGGGATGAAGTGAGGCAAGCATCGTATCCTGTGGCATTCTCTCCAGTGCCTGTGGCAGGCATAGCTAGTCAATTACAAAACTCCTGTCTGCTATGCTACACGCACTTCATCATGGAGCCCCTGCTGGCGTGTCAAGCCTGCTACAGAATGCCCATCGATCTATGTAGGATGCCTGCCTTCGTGTCTTCCTAACTATTCCAGGCCCTCCAGACCCATGGTCCTTGTAGTAACCCTGGAGCCCAGCCTTTACTGTGTGAACTCCGTCCTACGTCTTTGCCACCCATTGGCTAAGTTTATGCAGGGCCATCACTGCCTCCAGAGCCAGCTCTTTGGTCCTGTGTGAAGGGTGACTTGTAGGACTGCTTGGTCGAATCAAGATATCAAGAAACGGGGAGCAAAGCACTGCCAGTTGCACCCTTCCTCTGCCAGGTCATGGGCACATATTCTGTCAAAGCAGTGAAGCCCACCGATTGCCCAGCTGAAGGACTTTGTCTGAGTACACGATACCCAAGCTCGTATGTGTTTGCAGAGCTATATACTTGCCAGTTATCACCCCTTACTGTGAGAAAGTGGGGAGAAATTGTAATACACATATTCTGCGGAATTGTACCTCTCATTTAGGCAAATCTGGAGTCCTGTGCATTGATATTTTTTTGCAGCAAAATTGAAAAGAAATTTTAGGAGAAGAGAGGAAGCCCAGGAGTTGGAAAGGTTGTGTGTGGGACCCGGGATGGAGCTGGATTGGGTGGAGACTGTCTTCCCCTCTTTCCTGGGGATGGAAAGGTCTCTGAAGCTGCGTCTTGTGAGGATGACAGAGGGGTTTCCACTCTTCTCTAACAGGGTTGGCCAATCCTGAGGCTTAACCACCAGCTTTTTGCACCTCCTAGGCTGTGGGGCCAATCAGCATGTGGCTTCCTGAAGGAGGGGAACAAAGGGAAAATGTGATGGTTCTCAGTGCACAAGTCCTTACTGTCCAAAGGGAATGAACTCAAGCTCATAGTTGAGGCAGTGAAATCTGGGTGAACATGAGGAGTCCAGGCTAGGCCTTCCTGCGTGCGAAGTAGTGTGTCAGGCATGGAGGTTGCAGAACAGGCAGATAACAGAGGCATAAGCCTATTCTTTGTCTGGTCTTTTTGTGACCCTAGACCCCAAAGGTTTCGCAGGTTGTTTTGGGTTTCCTTTTCGTGAAAGATTCGAAGTGTACTCCAGTCTCTGATGTTGAGGTTAAAGTGGGGTGTGGAATTCTGCATAGCTGAGTCGTCCAAGAGTGCCCACAGGTGTTAGTGTTTACCACTCCCTCTCTGTTGTGATGAAATACCTAGCAGAAACAGGATGAAGTTAGGTCTTGGCTTCACAGGTCTTAGCCCGCGCTTTCATGGCTCACACCAGGTGGTAGACACAAAATGCCCATTCTAAGCTGACTTTCTCCTTGTTCTTGACTCTGTTCGGGTATCCAGCCCATGCATGATGCTGCCCGTGTTCAGGGTCGGTCAGCCCCCTTTGCCTTTCTGGAAAAGCCCTCACAGACACCCATGGGTGTGCTCCACCATCCCCTAGGTGATCATAAGTCCCATCATGTTGAGCATGACCATCTCAAAGACTTAGCTGTTACTGGGACCACAAGCCTTGCTTATGGGTCGTTTGAGTGAAGCAACAGTCATTAGAATTGCCTCAGGAAGGAGGTTAGCAAGGTGAGCGGGTCATGGAAGATTCTGGTAATAAGAATGCCAACTCCATTATGAACCTCTTCTTCATAAGCTTCTCACAGCCTCTGTGTCTACCAGGCCTGACCACCAAACCTGAGTGGGTTTACAGTGAAGGAGAAGGGTGCTCTTCTTAGGTCTAGGCTTTGACGTCGTGTTCTGATGGACACTGTGACCACCTCCCCACTTCCAGCTCTTCCCTAGACCACTACCCTGCAGGCTCCAGGGCTCAAGACAAAGACTTAGGCCTGGCAGTCTCAGACCCCTGAGTCAGGTCTGTGTCTGTAAATGACTGGGGGTCATGGTTCCTTTAGAATTGCTGACTCTCTATCAGGCCTCACTCGTGACACTGAGCCCTGGTCCTACCCAGTCAAGCTGTCCTGTGGGTGTCCATCTCGATAGATCTAAGACATTCCCTATGGATTTCTAACAGAAAAAAAAAAAAGATTGAGTCCTTTGCCCCTCGGGAAGGGGAATGGCACTGTGATGAAGATGTTCTGACGCTCTCAGTGACTACTTGCAAGTGGGGACCGATGATGGTACACCCAGGAAAGGCAGGGTGTGTCCAGCCTCCATGTGGAAGGTCTCTGAATGGCATAGTACCTGCTCATGGGACTTCCCACTGTGTGGTCCAGGTGCCAGGCCCAGCTTTAGGAAGCAGGCAAGCCATTCAGTGAGGCCTTTGTGTTGGGAGTGGCGTACTGACCAGCTCTCTCTTCTCTCCCACAGCACGAATTATCAAGACAAAGCAGTGGTGTGACATGCTCCCCTGCCTGGAGGGGGAAGGCTGCGACTTGTTAATCAACCGGTCAGGCTGGACTTGCACACAGCCCGGAGGGCGGATAAAGACCACCACGGTATGTGGCCCCTTTCCTTTCTTGTGGGCATGTTGGGGAGAAGTGAGCTGACACCACGGCCCCGTGATGGATGTGGATACTCCGGGATGAAAGAGGGACAAGTGGCAGCTGGTAACTCCATCCCAGCCAGCTCCTCCTCTCTCCTCTGGCGCTGAGTCCCAGAGAGCCTGTCCAGTTGGTCTTTGGGTACACAGGGACTGTGCCACAGAAAGCAGAACCACATAGACTTATCAGTTGGGTTGGTCGTCTCAGAAGAGAAGCTAACACAATGCATATTGCTCGGTGCATATTGCTGGCACCGAGGTTGCTTACTTTGTAGGGTTGATGTGGAAGTACATCAGGCACCTCAAAATCTAAGAGCAAGTTTCTGTACCCCACCTGAGGCCAAGTGGAATCCAGATTCAGGTTTAGGGAGGGGGCTACCTCTGGTTCTGCTGCTGCCCTAGATATGATCTGGTGACTGCTAACAGATCCCAATGGCTCCCAAAACTTCAGCCCGCTCATCCTATCGAGCCAGGCACACTAAGCTCTTTCTGGAGGCCACAGCCAACTTGATCTCCAGAGCCACTCTTTCCACAGATGGCTGAATACAGAGGACTCTGGGATGCTCTGATTTTTGTTTTTCTTTTTGCCCGTTCTTTGAAATTTCTGAGGTGTGATGGCTCCACATACTGCCTAGGCACTGCAGACAGTTTTCCATCTGTGATATACAACTGAGAGGTGAAAAGTCTTCGGGCATGACAGATGGGTAAGCCTCCTCGGGTCGGTGACTCGTCACTTAGCACTGGCTTCTTTGAGAACAAGGCTGGGTGAGACCTGTTCGGGGTTAGTGAGGGAACCTGTTGGGCTGAGTGGACACAGAATCAAGCACACTTCGAAGAGACTTAGGCTCTGAAATGCCTGTAGAGGTGTATGGAGGGGGAAGCAACAGGTATAGGATGCTGCCCTATGTCTGCCTCTGCCCTGTGAAGACCACAGGTACAGATTGACCCCCTGAGCTCCCAAGATGCCCTAGGCAGGGGCCACAGATAGGTATGAGATGAGATAATAGATAGTGATGAGCCCCATCAGCCATAACCATGCAAAGGGCTGCTTGAAGGCTCGCCCAGTGCCCCAGCGTGGTCTCCTGTATAAGGCCTAGCCTCCCCAACTACACCCCAAGCTATTCGGCCACCTGGGTAAGTGCTACAGTGGTGAAAACTGGTGCCAGGAAAGGAGTTGCATATCCATAGTGCCCCACCCCCCATGATTCATTGCAGAGTCACAGCAAGGCCAGATGTTCTTAACTCCTGGCCTGTGTCCTTTTGGGGACCAGATGTAGCCCTAGGCTTGGTGTATTCCCCACTTGCTGGAGTCACATTTGGAAGGGATGGGAAATTAAGGGCATGTGTAATTACAATTGGACACCACAGTGGGTGTGAGGGACCCCTGAGCCAACTTTACCCCCTCAGAAGCAAGAAGGGAACTGTATAGCTCTGCAGTCTAGTCCACATGGTGTCCTTGAGTCTATAAAATGAGACCCGACTCGTACTGGAACCTCTAGCCTAAGGTGATGTGTTTTTAAGCTGTCTAAAATGTTGCTTCTCAAGCCAGATCTAAAGAAACCACTATTAGCTGGACAGTGGTGCCACACACCTTTAATCCCAGCACTTGGGAGTCAGAGGCAGGGGGATCTCTGTGAGTTTGAAGCCAGACTGGTCTGCAGAGAGAGTTCCAGGACAGACTCCAAAGCTACAGAGAAAAACCCTGTCTCTAACAACACAATTAAAGTCTCTACTATGTGATTGCATCATGGCCTCTTATAGAGTAAATTAGTAGCATAGGTTCCACGTGTCACCATAAATTGTTGGAAAATTGTTTTTCCAGGATGTCAGTTGTCACATGTTATATTTAAGAGGCCTGGTGACCACGTAGTGGCTATTAATTTCTTTCCAGCATCACTCATTCCAGATAGAACCTCCCTTCAACCAAGACCCCTCTCCACTCTGCACCCCATCTATGCCAACTCTACATCCATGCACCTCTGTGACACCCTAACCCTAGCACGGTGTCACTTGCTGATTATATTTCTCTGTGTGTCACCCGAGTCGGGGGGAGGCTATTCACGGGCATTTCGCTGGGTCTGGGGATCCTATAGCCTGTCCCCTCCTGGGGCCTCCTAAGTACGTGTGATAAATGGATCCATTGATTAGCCTAGCCCAGACCCCAGGCACATGCTGATGTTCGCATTTCTGAAATCACTGCTTCTCAAAAGCGTGGGTCGCCACCCCATTAGTGGGTCATGAAATTAATTTACTGGCTCATGATCAGCATGTAAAAGGAATAAGAAAGGTCATAAAAATACTAGAATGCTTCTCGGGTCACCGGGACGAGTGCCACTTACAGCCACAGAAGCACAGTGGTGCTGTGTACGATGGGTGTCACTGTGGAAAGTGGGAAGCCCGTGGCCCCGATGACTCAGGAGACAAACGAGCCTCTGGGCTAGCTTTGCTGCCTCTGGAGTTGCCCCTTGGACTTTGCCCTGTGAGCATCCATCTGCACTGAGCCAGGTGAGGAGTGAATGCTGAAGGTTCTCCTTGGGCGTAGAAGCAACACCCCTTCCTTTCTACCATACATTGTTTCTAGAGGTGGGGCAAGGCATGGGATTCCCTTCCTCTTCTACAGCTCCCAGACTCCTGTTTTCCACTAGTCCCGCCAGCAGGACATCCAGGGGACCTAAATGAAAAAGAGCTAGAGGATCCCAGGTGGGGACTCTGGTCCCTCATAGCTGGCCAGCAATGGATGTCAGTGCAGATGTTAGCTGGCTTTGGCTGCACTGCTCCCTGCATATGTTAGTGGCTTTCGGGAATATTCTAGTCAATGTTTACTCTGCATTTCTGTGATGTTTATGAATTGCAAGATGCTCGGTGGTGAGCTATACCGTTCCCTAAATCAGAATAAACCAGCTGGATTGGAATCCATCTTTCCCAATTAGCTATTAAGCGCCACATTTTGATTCCATATGAATAAACACACGGTTGTGGGGGTAGGGAGGTTTGGGGAGGGATTTCTGGGATTCCTGCTCAAGGGTTAGCACTCCACAGAAGTGTGTGCCCCAGAGAACATAGAGTCAATGACTTCCAGATGCCGACTGGAGGAACACATGTGGGTGTGGATATCTGGCCTCTGCACCCAATGTTTGGGGGCTTCTATTACAGATGTGGAGTCCACTCAAGCAGTCAGTCTGAGCACCAGTTCCTCTCAGCTTGCCTGCAACTAGCTGCTGACTTGAGCTGGGCAGCCTGTGCCTCGACCCACTGGGGCATCTGGAGGTCAAGAGCACCGAGATCATTCATATCACCAAAGAACACAAATGCAGATGGTCCTGCTTCTCAGCCATCCCAACAGCTTCCTCTACCATGCTTAGCATCTGTCCAGGGCACCCTTTCTTCAGGAGAGCTGCCCTGGAGCAGGGAGGGCCCTGGCCCGTTCTGCTGCACAGCCAGTTGTTCAGTGGGCTCTATCCATTCCACTCGGGTCTCTGCCACTACAGCTTCCTGCCAAGTTGGGAGTAGGGAAAGAGCCGAACTCAGGAGCTGCTGCAGGCCGAGCTGGAACCTTGAGGTCTTCATTATCAAATTCTGAAGGTTTTGTGTGGTCTGGTGGCTATACCAAAACACCCAGAAGACTGGACTAGGCTCCTCCCAGGAATCAACATGGTCCCTAAGCATGGCTGGTTGTGTGCCAACCTACCCATGTGCCTCGGTTCCCACTAGTGTCAGGGGCCATGCAGGGCTCCACTGAAGAATGGAGCACCTCCAGGCTCCCCCATATTGGAGCAACAAATCTCAGAGGGTCTTTGTGGATACTTACTAAATGCTAGTCTCAGCCCCCAGCTAAAAAGGACCAGACCCCTATGCTGCCTATTAGCCTTTTGGAGACCCCTGTGAGGAGACAGGGATGTGGCAAAGGAAATAGTTTATTCCTGAAAGGACCAAGACAGCCACAGAGGAGATAAAAGCATGTGTCTAGGAGGGGACCCGTGGTGACTGTAAGCAGAAGAGAGGGGCTGAAACCCTAGGAAGCCTCGGACCCCACAGATAGCGCATTGATAAAGTGCTTCCCACAGAAGCATAAGGATCCAAGTTTTGCCCCAAGCATCCACATAAAAAGCTGGATGTGTTGGCATGCATTTGCAATTTCCAGCCCAAGGGAGGCAGAGGCAGTGTCTTGGGGTTCGATGACCAGCCAGACTAGCCTGGTCAGCAAGTCCAAGATCCCAGTGAGAGACTTTGTCTTAAAACAAATAAAGTAAATGGCACCTGAGGGGTGACAGAGAGGAGCAATCACTTTCCCCACAAGTGCATACTTGTTCACACACACACACACACTCACACACTCACACACACTTACAAAATTTGCAGACCTGGAAGATGCAGGTTTCCTATACATCCCAGGGATGAGTGTATAGAAAGTTCCATACTGGAGCTGCCAGAGTGAGATATGAGACCCTGGAAGGTGCTGTAAAGAATCTAAACATCAGAAGGATGAGATCAGTCCCACACTGTCCTGTCTTGACACAAGGTAGAGTCATTTGGTCTAAAAGGGACTCTCAGTTGAGAGGATGCCTTCCTAAGTCTGTAGTGCATTTTCTTACTTAGTGATTGATGTGGGAGGGGCCCGGCCCATTGTAGGCAGTGTGAACCCCTGGTCCTATCGCCCCAAGTGCTCTAAGACAGCAGGCTGAGGAACAAGGTAGTAGTATCCTTCCTGCCTTGAGTTCCTGACCTCCTGGCCTGATTTCCTTCAGTGGTAGACTGTTTCCTGAAGTATAAGGGGAAATAAATCCTGTCCTTCCCAAGTTGCTTTTAGTCGTGGTGTTTATCACAGCAATAAAAACCCTAATGAACGCACACAGAGAGAGAGGGGGGGGGGCAGGGGACTGCTCGAGCAGGGACTGGTATCCAGGTTCCCCCAGCCCAGATGTTGCAGGACACAGGTGCCAGGTGTGACTCTTAACG